TTTTGGCATGGGCATGGCATACCCTGGAAGCCCTTTGGGAAGTCCTGTTGCTTCTCCATCTGGTCCTGGCAGTCCACTTAGACTCAGTGAGCGGAATATGAGATTTCCTTCTAACTTGAGAAACTTGGGTGGCTGGAATTCTGATCCAAGTGGCTATATGAATGATAACTTCCCATCTTCACTATTGGATGAATTCAAAAGTAATAAGGCCAGAAGTTTTGAACTTGCTGAGATTGCCAGTCATGTGGTTGAGTTCAGGTATACCTAGTCGTGTACTTCTGCAATACTGATATGAGTTTGAATCATACTAAAACCCATGAAAAAACATCCAATTACAAATAGGATGAAATGGTCTCCAAAACACAACTGATCACTAATTTTTATTGCAACATGTTTATAATTGGTAACTTAGAATATTTGGACAGCACCTTTTATGGCAAATAAAGATGCATGTATAATGTCCAATTGTTCATTGAGATATTATCAGCTAAAATTTTTAGTAACTTTTTACTGCATGCGTCTGAAAGTCACTTTTTTTTTACTGAGGGAGTATCATCAAAGCATTCTGTTATAGTATCTATCAAAACATTATATTATTTTATTCTCGTCCACTAATTAACTTGTCAACAAAAGGTGAAAAATGGAACTGCATCTTGTTTTTCCATGGTCTGTTGCTCAAATGTAATGCACATAACTAGTCATTCAAGCTTGCAGTCATCAGAGCATCTAGTTTGTGTACCACTGCTTCACTGATAAATAATGATTGTCGACTGACTAATCCTTTTTAGTTATTGATGCATTCTAACTCTTTGAGCTGGTTGTGATGTTCACTTTGATTATGCAGCGCTGACCAATACGGAAGCCGTTTCATACAGCAAAAACTTGAAACCGCAACAGTTGAGGAAAAAGACATGGTTTTTAAGGAGATCATGCCTCAGGCTCTCTCGTTGATGACCGATGTATTTGGGAACTACGTGGTGCAGAAGGTTTTTTTTTTTTCTGAAACTTAGTGGTGCTTCTCATTAGGGAGCTGGGCCGACCATTTTTTTTCTCATAGTACTTTGTCTTTTAAGGTTTGTTTAGCAGCGTCATGACTTAACCTGTGTTTTCTACATAGTTCTTTGAGCACGGGAGTGCAGCACAGCGTAGGGAGCTGGCTGATCAACTATTTGGACATGTGTTAGCTCTCAGCCTTCAGATGTATGGATGCCGAGTTATCCAAAAGGTACTGCATGGCTTGGCTCTGTTTCTTTTTTGTGAAAAAAAATATTCTTATCTTTCAATGATATTTATATTCACATTACTGAAGGCAATAGAAGTGGTTGACCTGGACCAGAAGACAAAAATGGTTACTGAGCTTGATGGCCATATCATGAGATGCGTGCGTGATCAAAATGGAAACCATGTTATCCAAAAATGTATTGAATGTGTACCGGAAGATTCGATTCAGTTTATCATCTCAACATTCTATGGTCAAGTTGTTCCATTATCCACTCATCCCTATGGCTGCAGAGTCATACAGGTTCACCATTGAGTTCTTACATTTATATGTGGTTCTTCTGTCTCTAATATTATCTTGTGTAAACTCACAATTTCTTTTGTATTCAGAGAGTACTGGAGCATTGCACTGATCCAAAAACACAGGAAATAGTCATGGATGAAATATTGCAATCTGTGTGCATGTTGGCACAAGATCAATATGGAAATTATGTTGTTCAGGTTTGTATCCTCTGGAACTATTTTAGTCCATACTACTTTTTGGCTTTGATGTAGCATTCTAGTGTTCTTTTCTACTCTGCAAGACTTAATGGTCACGGACTTGACATTTTTTGCTTTAGTGGCTTGTATGAAAAACGGACATCGATCGTTTCAGATGTATTTAATATTTATGACTTTGTTTTGCTTCTACAGTGAGGTCTTATTTTTCTTCAAGGAATAGAAACATGACTTAAGAGCTGGGTTTGCAACACCAGTTTTGAACTTCTGGAATGTATGAGTTATGCAATTATTCCTCTGTGCTTGTCTAAAATGATTTCACAATCAGTTATAATAGATTTATGCTATCCACACTGAACAGGACAAGGATTCTGAACTTTATACATTCAAATAGGTTGCCTGTGCTGATCATTTTCATTGGATACTGAGTTGCACGGTGTAGGGTCTAACATGTACTGCAATGATTATGCCTAATCACATTTCTGCATTTCATGTCACTTTATTTACATGAGTTAGAATTAGGGATGAAAAATGTGATGGAAATTTCTAACCGAGTACCGTTTCTGTAAAAGTGGTACCTTTTCCAATTCTAGCCATATATAAAATTTTATTTTATTTTCTAGTTTCTGTCAACGTCATATTGATTTCGCTACTAAAATAGTTAAATTGATAAATATAGAAAATTCCTGATCAACTGAGAATTGTTTCTGTAGAGATGATATTGTTTATGACCGTTTTTCATCCCTAATTAGAATCAATTGGTCATCCATATTACTCTAATACCTTCTTTTAAGTGATCATATGTATTGATGACATCCCATTTACAATTGCGCAGCATGTTTTGGAGCACGGGAAGCCTCATGAGCGATCTGTCATTATTGAAAAACTAGCTGGGCAGATCATTCAGATGAGCCAACAGAAATTTGCCTCAAATGTTGTTGAGAAGTGTTTAACATTTGGCGGACCTGCAGAGCGGGAAGTTCTTATAAATGAAATGCTCGGAACTACTGACGAGAATGAGCCTCTTCAGGTTTTCATTATGATATTTGTGTTTTATTGGTGTCCAATTATCTCATGGATTAGAGCTTCATATTTTTCTGGGGGCAGTAGGGCAATTCAATGCGCCTTGAAATAATTTTTTTTTAATTTAACATGGTTTTTTAGGCAATTATTTATGAGATACCATGTTAGGCTCGGTACTGCATTGTGAAATTGTGATTACCATATCTTCTCGCACTTGGACTCGCATGGCAAAACTTTTATTCACCGTAGCACTTTGTCAAGATTTCCAAAAAAGATATCAAGCTTTTCTAGAAAGCTATGTTAAACTCATTTGTCAAAAACATGGCGTGCTGGATTGATCTTGAACGTGCAAAGCTTACTGAAGTATTAAGCTGAATTGCTGAAGAACTGTGTTGGTGTAACTGACCTCATATAAGATGTGAATTACTTTCTGTGTGGTGTTATTTTTCCGATGGTTTAGCGTTTTGCAGATTTTAGTCAGATTTCATATTTACTAAATCATAGACTTGCCTTTGCTGAGCTTTTCTTTTCCCCCCGGAAAAGTTGCATTCAACATTCTGATCTCTCTGTTTTTTTGTTTTTGTTTTTGTTTTGTTTTTGTGTTTTTTTTTTGAAAAATAACACTTGCAGGCCATGATGAAGGATCAGTTTGGTAACTATGTTGTACAGAAAGTACTGGAGACTTGTGATGATCAGCAGCGTGAGTTGATCCTGTCACGAGTAAAGGTTCATTTAAGTGCACTGAAGAAATATACATATGGGAAGCACATAGTTGCCCGGGTAGAAAAACTTGTTGCTGCCGGTGGTAAGCTTTTGTGGACATCTTCACTGAAAAATTATTGAAATAATTTTGTCTTGAAACCTTGGTATTTTTAGCCTCCCTGTGTTGTCTGGTTATATTTATCCTTTTTAACACAGTTTTCTTTTTTCAAAATTTAAATGCAGAGAGGAGGATTGGGCTTCAGGCACAATATCCTTCATAATGGCATGAAAATGACAATGTACAGCTAACCATGGCTAGCCAGATCTACCCTGTGTCTCCTGCTTTGGGCTGCTACAAGCCAACTTTAAAAATAAACGTGTTGTACTAAGAAGATTGTACATTTTGTAGTTTTTGCTTATAGTCATGTCAGGGGTGAGGCTCAGAGTTTATTTACCTGATGACGCTGCAGAGAAGATAGGCGTTTTGTATAAGTCGGTTAGGTGTAAAAAGAGGAAGAAAGTCTATATTTTGCGATGAGACTGTACAAATCTGCGATCCTGAGAGAGCTACCAGCTGTTCCTGTTTAGGATAAGATTTTAATGATCTCCCATGTTTATCACTGATGAATGTACTCAATACTAATGTAATTGTTCCAGCTTCTGAAGGCATGTGCCTTTTACAACCTTGAATCCTTAATTACTGGTTGTGCTGTGTGTTTGTGTTTCGACTGGTTAGACCAGCATGTTCATGATGAGCCGTGGACTGCCATTCTCCGGTGAAGCAATGGCTTCTTTCTGGTGAAGACAATTCAAAACTGGATCGATCGGTTTCATGTGCCGATGTCATTTGAGAGCTACCGTGTCTTACAATTGCAACAACTGAGCCGTCTAAATATAAGTGACTAGGCATTGGACAGCCCCGTCGTTGACATGCCCAAGCGATCTCAACTTACGGTTGTTTAACAACTGAGGAGAGTACGACTACAACTCCTCCGCGTAGCATCGCTGTTGAATCGTTATCCTTTCTACCGACGAAGTGACGTGAGTCTATCAAACCTTGGGGAACCCCAATATTCTCTCCAAAATACTACTCCACTCTTCAGATTTTAGGCGTCGCTCTGCCACTACCCAACGCCTACGGCGGTGAGACCTGAAACCGGATGAGAGGGGCGGCCTCACGACTTCACTGGCTCACCGCCTCTCGTATATATGCGGATATGCCCGCAATTGCAGCGCACCGCACGGGAGTTGTTCTCCTTGATCTGCCCATGGCGTATTGGATGGCCGCCTCGCGTTTTGTGTCGTTCCGAGGCAACGTCGACGGTCGCCACGCCCAGCGAAAACCCGTACCCGTCTCGTCTTATTTTAAAGACGCGTCCGCCTGCGCGCGCGCGACCGCTCCGACGGACTCGCTCCACCGCCAACCCACTCCCCTCGCGCGCCCACTGCCTCGGATCGCCAGCAGCATCCACCCGGCTGTCGTCAGAGGCGCGAATCTGCTGGGCCCCGCCACGGCGGCAGAGCAGAGGGAGAGGCCACCGGGACCCACCCGGACATAGGTTATGTTATCCGCTCGCGGCGGCCGGCCCCACGACGCCGACGCGCCATTGCCCTCGTCCTCTTCCTCTTCCTCTTCCTCGTCGTCGTCGTCGCCGAGCCGTCGCATGGTGGACGCCGCTGCGGCCTCCGGGGACGCGTGCGGCCGCGTGACGGAGTGGGAGACCGGCCTGCCGGCTCCAGGCGAGATGACGCCGGTCTCGCACCAGCTCGTCCCGCCGGCGCTCGCCGCCGCCTTCGGGATCGACCTCGCGGCCGTGGGCGTGCTCCTCCCCTCTCCCTCCGTCGACTCCCCTGTCTCCCACCTCTTCTTCCCCGTCGACGAGGACGACGACGAGGATGAGGAGGGGGAGGGCGAGGGGGGTAACGATGACGCCCCCGCCGCCGCCGCCGCGGGCGGCGGCGGCGGGAGGTGCGGGAAGAAGGCGAGGATGGTGTGGACGCCCGAGCTGCACCACCGGTTCGTCGAGGCGGTGGCGCACCTCGGCGAGAAGGGCGCCGTGCCCAAGGCCATCGTGCGCCTCATGAACGTCGACGGCCTCACCCGCGAGAACGTCGCCAGCCACCTCCAGAAGTACCGCCTCTACCTCAAGCGCACGCGCGTCGCCGCCACGCCGCCTCCTTCTCCACCACCACCTCCTCCTCCTCCTCCGCCCCTGCCGCCGGCGATGTACGTCCCCTGCTTCGCCGCGAAACCACCTCTCGACGCAGCTAACCGCAGCGATTCCCCTCCTTCCAGAACCTCGGACGCAACGACTAAGCAGTAAGCTTTATATTTTGCAAATTTTTTTCCCCAAAAGATAGCCAAAATCAGATAGTACGTTTTTTTTCCTTTTTTTTTCTCATATTTTCGAGGATCCAAGTAGATATATTGAGTATTTAATTTCGTCAGGAATCAAGTGAAACCAATCAAAGAGGTACAATATATTGAACTCCTGTCGTCTGCAAAATCGAAATTTGGCTTACCGTCCGATGGCAAGTTGAGGGATAGTACATTTCAAGTACAGTTATGCACATATCGGGAACAAGATATAGACCACACTAAAATGCCGCTCCTTGCAAAAATTTATCAAACCATTGCATATATTAGTTTTCTCTTGGTGATAGAGTTCATTCTTTTCGGTACCAGTGTTGTCCTCCTGGCGAAAATGTTTTTAGCCACAGACATCCTTGGGCCGTTTAGCTAGAATTACTCTCTTTTTTTTTTCTCTGCGCTTGATCCGTATAGAATGTTTGTTGTTTATACTTTTGTAAATATAATACTTACTACTAGTTACGAGTACTATATTATATTAAAAAAAACTTAACGTTTACATGTCTTCCTTCTTTCTTCTGTAACTTAAAAGCCAACTTTTATGTTTGGCATACATATCCATTGTTGTCGCAACCAAAATTCATTAGTTAGATAGCAAAATATAGTAGTTTCTGTTTTCAGTAACGCGATGATAGACTATTGAAAGCAACTTTATGCTCACACCACCTTCCCTTTAAGAGCAATTTAGGTATTTAAGTTCTTTGAAGGAACTGCTGTAATGATACCCAGTTGATGATTGAATGGTGGTGGGGTTATCTGTAATGTGCTTCCTTGAATCAGAAGACTTGGGTATATGGTTAGGAGTACTTCCCTCCCTTGCCACCACCTTGATGTTGAAATGGACTGCCCATTTCAATGATTATTTGATGCTTTCTGGGGCAATCAATCATTGTTAGAGGAATTATTTGTTCCTAGCATGATTTATACTTTAATATAATTAATATTAGTAAAGGTCAGCACTATGTTAATTCCATGGTTTGGGGGTTCTGGCTTCTAGCAGTATTCCCCACATTCATGGAGCTAGCAAAGGCATATGTCTAACCTTTTACTATGTGTGTTCACTCTTAATAGTTGATACAGTTTCTGAATTGTTTCCTCGTTTTATTCTAACTGGTTAGCTAGCTCAAGGCTAGAGAAGGAAATGCACCAAGAGTGAATTATATTCAGAAGTTGTGTCTCTTAAGAATTAGGGGACAGAACATACAATATTTTTGGATCATTTCAAGTGCATGCTTTCCATGCATGCTCCCATCAAAAGGGATAACGAGACTTGTCCACGAGGCTACGACGCAAAACTCGGCTAAAATAAATATGGAAATGCTGCTCATATCCAAGAACGGCCTCAGGAAAGATGCAAAGTTTTTTTCTGTGTGAGCTGCTAATGCTCGAGGTATTGTCTGAAGGCTACAGGCACAATAAGGTTTACCAAAGGAATTGTAATTAGGTTTCCTCTGATCTAGATTCAGTTTCAAATTCATGCAGCGTGCTGTATCAAATGCTGCCTAGATGTAACATCATTTTTCCTCATCATGTATGTGTAAGATGCTACTCTTTCTAACCTGGTGACATCGGCAAAGCTGCTCCTCAATCCCTTGCATAAGTTTTACTATCTGGAATCTTGACGATACACCCCGAATGCTACCAAAAAATTGCGTTGCCATCTGCAAAGACAGCAACCAGCTAACTCAGATCACCGACAGCTCTTCATACTCCGAACTTCCAAAGAGACAGTGGCGGTTGGTAAGCCGCAATCGTGGAGCTGTGCCTGTGTGTGTATCCATGTCAAGATTCTGGTGATCCGAAGAGGTGATAACGCCACGAGATCCCGGCGCCGCGGCTCGTGGGCTCCAGCAGAAACGAACCCTCGAATTCGTCGCCGTCTCCGCCACGCGCGCGCCGCCGTCGCGCTCACGCGTCGGCCGCTGAACACGACCGGATGAGCTGATCAGCTCAGCTCCGCGTGGCGTCACGACTCGCAAGCAACAAAAGTCTATGTATGGCCAAGTTTAATAGTATAGCCAACTGATAGCTTTAAATCATATATATCATTTATAGTTAACTTAATAGCCAACTCATATAATAGTCAATTTAATAGCCAACTTATATAATAGTTATTTATAAACATATACTCACTCCGTTCCTAAATATAAGTGATTTTGGTTGGATGATATCTAGTACTGAATTTAGACATAGAACATGTCCAGATTCGTAGTACTAGAAAACATCACATCCAACCAAAATCACTTATATTTAGGGACGGAGAAAATACTGCACAATTAATATCTGGTCCACCTATCATTCACACATGTATCTTAAAGTCCGTGCTGCAGCTGGCTACAAATCTATAGCCCGCTGCTCTTCTCTTATTTTTTTATCTCATCAAAATATGTTTATAGCTGGTTTATAGTCTGCTATTGTACCTATTCTAATTAGTAAGACAAGCCGGTAAGCAGCGCTGCCGCTGCCTCGACCGTCAAAACGGATGGCAGAAGCAACTGAATTTTTCTGCGAGGAGCAATCGAATTTAAGGGCGCATCACATGCAGGCATGTGTTATACTGATCTAGGAATTAAGTTAATGCAGGTCTGAACTAGCCAGAATTCCGGTGTGATTGGATGTATACAACATATGTTTATGTTTGACAGTAGACTTGTGTTTGGTATTCAATTCTAGAGCTTGTGCTCATGGGTTTGACAATACGATCCTTCGGAATGTCTAGCTAAAATGGTCGGTGATGTATGTGGGCCGATCAGTGGGCACAGGTACAACCCTGCAACTTTACTCCTATAATCATATATGCTCATGCTATATTTTTCTTGTTAGTTATTAGTGGCCTAAATAGGGTAAATGATGGCAAAAAAAAAAGGAGCCAGGCACACAGGCAAAAAACCGTTAACGAAACCACCTAGGCCTATTCGTTTCTTCTACAAATTGAGAATAAAATTTTGGATAAAAGTGGCACGCTTTTCAAACTGTTAAACGGTGTGTTTCGTGCAAAAACTTTCTATATGAAAGTTACTCTAAAATATCAGATTAATCCATTTTCAAGTTTATAATAATTAAAACTCAATTAATCATATATTATTATCGCATCGTTTTACGTGAAACATTTAATCTTACCTTCATCTTCATCTTCAGAAGAAAAGAGCATCACCTTAAGGTTTATTTCGACTAAACGAGAAAGCTTAGGGGAGTTGATGCCCGGTTTAATAGTTCGAGATTTTATATAGAATCTCACGTAAAGTTTAGTAAGGTAACTAGGCCTTTTTGTGTGAAATATGCAATATTATGTCAGTGTTCTTTCGCATGTTCCATCCATTTTGGGTGGTATATATCTCACACTTGTGCATTCTTTTGGTTTTACTTGAGTTGATTGACCACCGTCAAAATTATTTTTTTAGGAACACTTTCTAGAGTTCCAATATTTAAGTACTTTAATTATGAAAAGAGAGAGATGCCGACTTATCTAAATCTTATGTCAGATGCTTGTTACGTTGACTTGGTGAGTGCGTTTTGCACATAGAAGTTCATCATTTATCAAATGAGGAAGGCTCTTGATATATTTTTCTTTTTGTTCCATCTGTGCATCATTTCGAAAACAGCCTGTTATTACGGTGAATGATGAAGTTACCCTAATTTTTGAACATTGAAAATTCAGTAGCAGTTCCGACTTTTTCAGTTAGTCAAAACAATGCAAGTGGCATACACCTGAAACTCAAACGAAAGATACATAAGTACACCTCTATATCTTAATCTCCATGTAGGCTGTGTTTAGTTCACACTGAAGTCTGGAAGTTTGGTTGAAATTGGAACGATGTGACTGAAAAGTTGTGTGTGTATGAAAGGTTTGATGTGATGGAAAGTTGGAAGTTTGGAAAAAAACTTTGGAACTAAACAGGGCCCTAGTATAGCACCATGATTCCAATGCTACACCAGAATCCGTTGCCGGCTCTGTTCTTTTCTACTAGGTGATACCCCGCAATTTATTGTGGAATTGATGGATGTTGAAATGTTGTAAAGATAATGTGGGGGAGAAGATGGCGTGTCATGCTTGTGTAAAATTTAGGATGCTAATTGCTAGTAGATGATGAGATGGCATACTTGCATGTTGAGTTTGAGCTTTTAATAATTACTAGTGGGTATCAACTATATAAAGTATAGATACATGCAAGCATAAATAATTATACGCATTTGCTCCTGCTATCTCACAAAACAAATAGAAACACAATCAGTATTGCTTCAGAGAGCACTCTGAAAAAAAAAAGTCAGCAGTTTAACTAATTATGCAAGCAGAAATATGATTGGCACAAGTGAGCTGTATCCGCATACCTGCATGCATCTGCGCGTTTTCTGCTGAGCGCTGCTCGTCAACTGCGTCTGCATTCAGCCTGAAGAATACAATACTACGGCCTTTGATGGCCATGAAACGCGGTGAGCAAAGTGCGTTCTTGACTAGCGCACTATTCTAGCTTCCTCTCCTAACCTCTATAGTCTAGCAGTATGTTTGTATTGACCAAAACATACAGGATGATGGCTTGCTGAACAATATGTTTCTTTCTCCTTTTCTTTTCTTCAGACCCACAGGATTAGTAGTAGCCACAATGGTGCCAATAAGTTATGTCATGTTCTTCATGACCTTAATAACTGATAGGCAGTTGCTGCTTTGACTCGCAGCAATTTTTTTTCTTTTTTATGAGGCGTGGATTGTGCACTAAACTAGTCGAAATTGTTAATTAGTTTTCGAGCCATGTGATTTACACCGATCCTCTGAGTAGGTTTGATGTTTTTTTAATCATATAGGTTCTTTAATATATATGTGTGTGTATGAAAATTGCTTACTTAGGCTTCCATAATCGCCGAACTGTCCCGTTTGTTTATGGCCTCTGAACTACCGAAATCGCGGTGATTGAGATAAACGCGTGAATATGCAGCGTTCGGTGTCATGCAATTACGGCTGGAATACGACCATAAACGAACTCGAGCTGGCATTTAATATAGTCAATTACAAAGGGGTTTGCAGTTGGAACCGATGAATACAGGTCACATACGAAGGGCCTTTGTTCACAATCCAAGCCGAAATTCGTACAGAATGGTGAATGCCGCTTTCACCTTTTTTTTAATAATTATTTTCAGGGTTTCTTTGCTGATCTTTTTTACATACAGGGAAAAGGTAAGGATCACTTCTTTCTACGTTCAAAAGATTCCGTGTGAGACCCTGTGCCAAAATATTAGTAGAAATAATATGCGCCATGTTGTTGGCTTAATACTATATCATAAAAAGGGGTTTTGGAACAAGTCCATCACTACAAAATTTATACAGAGAAGGATTTCTCTCTATTTCCACTAATAAAAATTGATAAATGTCATATAAGTAATACTCTCCCCATCCCATATTGATGATCATATAATCAAAAATACAAAAAATTCTAAAATGACCCTCATATAACCATTGTCTCTTCGTTAATATTATTGCATCTACGAATGCAAATTGAGCATGCATGCATGTATGTCTTTCAAGGCAATTAAGCGCACATTTGTTATGCATATGGGGAGTTACAGTCTTTAAAGTCTACCTGTTTCTTGATACTCCACCACATACTCGCACTAAATAAAATGCATGGTAGTTAAGTCTTCGTTTGTCTAGGTGAAAAAAAGTTATAGAGTAAATTTCATAAAGCTATAAATTTAAAGTGTTGTATCATAAAACTACGGATTTAGTGTTAAATTTATCATGAAATTATAGGTTTAATTAGTACTATCAATTTAATCACAAAACTATAATGTTTATGGCTCTAACACCATGGTAGTGTTAGGGATTTGAACCCTAAAATATGTAGTTTTGTGATAATTTTTATATCAAATATGTAGTTATGTGATACTTGACCTTAAATCTATAGATTTCTAATAAATTTGACACTAAATATGTAGTTTTGGGATATAATGTTTTAAATATGTAGTTTTGTGATAGCTTGGTCAACATATCTATAGTTTTGTAAAACTTACTCATATAATGATCAATATAGAACGAAAGGAGTATATCATTAGTATAGGAGTCAACGGCCGGAGAGAAAAAGGGAATTAAGAAGACGGTTAGGGTGATGAAGCTATAAGAGCATCCGTAATGGTAAAGTAAGGTGCTCTCTATAAAACTTGTACAACTTAGCAATAGACTAGATTAATAGTAAACCACCTCAATAGTATGTCTACATGGGTATCTATAGCTCTCTAATGCATTGCCTCGTTTTTCTCTATAGACTATCTCCAGGTTAGTAGATAGATTTGCTCTCTCTCTTCATTTAATCTCTTCCAAGTAGGAAAATCTGCTGACATGGATCTCTGGTAGAGAGCCTATAGATAACCATTACGGGTGTCCTAATAAAAGGAGCAATGACTTGCGTTTTTTAATCAACTTGCTTACAGTATTTACTATGCGATGTGATCGCTAGGATGATATTGTAAGTACTTGTTATTAGGGGTTTCAAATTGTTATATATATATATATATATATATATATATATAATCTGAAATTAATCTGTGACTAAGGTAAAGTTGGTCTGCAATGACTTTTTAATATATGTATAAAAAATCCCCTTGTTTGAATTGAGTCTAAAACTTCATGGAGAAATCTGTTGATGTGCTTATTCTCGATCTCTCTCTTCACATATCTTAACATTTTATACAGGGTAATACTAATATACTATAACGATTCTACAGTCACTCGTAGATGCCAGCGATATACTCAAGAATTTCCTAAAGTCTGAGGGATTAGGCCCCTTTTATTCATACGAATGAAAAAACGAGAAAATAGAAAAAAAAATACAAAGGATTCCGATAGAAATATAAGTTTAAAACGGATTACTGTAAAAGAAAAAGAAAAACACATGAATAATTATTTGATTGGATCGCAGAAAAAATATAGCAATTAAATGAGAGAGATAGACTTAAAAGTAATTTCTCTAGGAGGTCGGCCCTCTGGCTAATTTTCCTCTAAAATCTATATGTAATGAACCATTTTATAGGAATGTATAGGATTTGGAAAAATCCAATCATTTGAATCAAATGACTACATAGAAAAAAATTCTATAGGATTTTTATCCTATGAAATTTTTTATATAAATTCTTTGATTCAAAGGAACCTAAGAAGATGGCCCCATGATCGACTATTAGCATTGTTAATCGTCAATGACATAGCATACCTATAAACACTGACAAACCAACGAGTTTGGACGGCTCCCCATAGTCATTGAGCTCAAGATCCACCACTGAATCATGCACTCTCAGCTACTCGTGGTCAAAAAAACGACGCAAAGACTGATGCAATGTTCTGATTAGTTGAGCTACGGTTGATAAGTCCTAAGAAAAAGCAAAACAAGAAAAGAATATTTTTCAGTACAACTTTTATATTTGTATTATTAACGATTTAAAAACTAAGACTGAAAAATAAGCTATACTGAAAAAAAAAATACTCAATACCGTTTCTAAATTATGTTACAAAATTTAAATTTTTCTTTAACTGATAAGTCAGCAAGAAGATAATAATAGCCTTTGTAGTTTTGTGAATTGTCTGTAACAAGTAGGGGTGAAAACGGTACGAAAACTTTCCGGATTCCGAACCTATTTTCGAAAACGGAATCTGTCGGTCGAAATTTTTCGGAAACGAAAACGAATTCAAAAATATTTTCTCGGAAACGGAATCGAAAATGATAAGGGCAGTTTCCGTCGGAACCCGAAATCGGTCGGAAACTTTCCGGAAATTTTCTCGGAATTTCCAGAAATCACAAAATACCCTTGATTCTTTTTTTAAGCACTGAATAGTGAATACCATGGTGTTTGGCTGTTATTTTCTTAAAAATATTTGTTACGCAAATCTAAAATTACATAAGAATATTTTTTCCTACATTGGGATTTATCAACAGCATTACTAATTTATTCTATAGATTGTGTTTCATGATGTACTATTTATACTTAGCAATTGGACTTATATGATTGTGTTTTACGATGAATTGTTAACCGTTGAGACTTGAGAATTGGATTTATCTGTTTGAGGAGGTTTTTTTTATTCCGATAAATTTTCGTTACCGTATTCGCGCCGGTTCGTTTTCGCTCCGTTTTCGGTTTCGATAATATTCGATTCTGTTTTCGTATCCGGGATTTCCGATTCCGATTCTGATTTTGAAAAAAATATAAAAATAAAAACGATTACGTTTTCGTACCGTTTTCACCCCTAGTAACAAGCAGTACTTCGCAGTAGACAAAACTATACACTTTCAAATGGTTACAGCTAAAAGTTTAGTTTTATAAACTTTTATAGAGCTACCAAAAGTTTTTAGTAGTAGCCTCTTTGACACTTTCGAAAGATAAAGTGCAGTTTTGTAAAAGCTATAGTACTAAATTTTTTTTAAAAAACAGCCCTTTCGGCGATAGTAGCTCGGCGCGCCTGACGCCTTGTGGCAATAGAGAGAAGTGCGGCCGTTTTCGTCGGTCAACAAAAGGACGGCACAAGTTTCCTGCTTGAACAAAACAAGCTTCAAAGAATCAATCGTGTATATTGTACAAATTTCCTGTAACACGTCTTACACACCGGACTCCGTCACCAGTGTGAGGCCGACACGCGGGCCCGGCATGTCAGCCTCAGACCACTGACTGTCGCCACACACAAACCAACCAATCAAACTCTCCTCCATCGTTTTTTACTTTTCTTTCTCCCTCCAACCTTTCAAACTATTACTGTTACTGCTACTACTCTAACCCGTTGAATAGTTCACCGGTTCTAACCTGATCTACCAACCCCCTCCCTCCCAAAAAGAAAACAAAAAAAATCAACTCTTTCAATCAAAGCATTGACAAATGAAGCGAGGAAGAGGAAGAGGAAGAAGGAAGAAGGAGAAAAGCCAAAGGTAGAATCTTTGGGCAAAAGTTTCCCGCGTGTTGAATGGTTGAACGGTTCAATGGATGGATTCAGAGGAGGCGGACGGAGCCGCGCCGCCGCTCCTCGTACCAGCAGACGCAGCTGAGCGCGACGAGCACCTCGACGAGCGCCGCCTCGGCCTTCTCCTTGTCCGCCCACCGGAGCGTCTGCAGCGCGTACACCCGCGCCCCGCCGTCGAACCGCCGCGTCCGGTCCATGTTCCGCTCCGCCTGCCACTGCACCGTGTCGCGCGCCATCGGCCCCAGCCACGCCATGATCCGGTCCACCGCGTCCTTCCACCCCTGCGCCAGCCCGGCGTCCAGCGGCCCCGGGTCCCGCCACCAGTCGCGCAGCTTGGACCGCACCGCCGCCCTGAGCTTCGCCGGCAGCATCTCGTACATCTCGGCGCGCTCCGCGTTCGCTTCCTCCTGCCGCCCCTCGGCCTCCATCTGCAGCAGCTGCTCCGCGGACACGATCACGTTCGCGTACTGCTGGTCCAGCCCCGCGCCGCCCACCGTGCTGGCCGGCGCGTCCAGGAGCTTGCGCCAGTCGATGGCGGCCTTCTGCCCGGACGGCCTCAGCCCGATGATCGGGCACGAGCTGCTGATCACCGGCGGGTGGACTCGCGACGGCCCGTCTCGCCGCGTGATCGGCCCGGACGACGCCTTCGCCCTGACCGCCCGCGGGTTGAGCAGCTTGGACAGCCTTGTCTGGACGCTGTCGGTGGCGGCCGACGGCAGCGGCGGCGGGAGGCCGGGGACGAACGCGCCGAAGATGGTACAGATGCGGCTGAACACGGCGCACGCGGCGCGCGCCATGAGGCCGACGGCCTTCTCGTAGCTCTGGTTCCAGAGGGACTCCTCCTTGAGGCGACGCACCTTGATCCTCTGCGCCTTGAGATCCTGCTGGAGCGAGTCGGCGCCGGGGGAATCGCCGGCGGCCGACGGGGCCACCGGCTGCATCGGGATCGGCCCGCTCAGGCGGTTCCACCCGCGGAACGCGAGCTTCCGCTCGCTGGCCTCCAGCTCGTCGAGCGCCTCCATTTCGGAGCACAGCCTGGCCGTGGACGCGACGAGCCGCTCCATCTTCTTGGCCTTCACCCTGAGGCCCTTGGCGACGAGCGGGTCGAGCCTCGCGTCGGGCGCCCCGGCCTTGAGGCTCGCGTACACGCCGCCGAAGTCGATCCCGCACCTCAGCCCGAGCCGCGCGACGGCGGCCGCGGCGGCGTCCAGCGACACGACGAGCTCGGCGCAGGCCAGCCTGAGGAGGAACGCCTGGTCGGTGGAGTTGAGGTACGCGACGCCGGGCGACCGCATCGTGTCGGACCGGAGCCTGGACACCTCCTGCTCCGACAGCGACCGGTGCAGCGACAGCAGCTTCGACATCGCCGCCGCGGCCTCGAACGCGAGGATCCCAAGCGCTGCCTGTGGCCCCGACGGCAGCCGGAGATCCACGGGCATCCACATCTTCTGCACAACCATCAATACTTCTCTCCAAATCTCGCAACAACACAGAGCATGGAGCGATCGATCGAGCTAAGCTTCTTTTTCTTCTCCTCTCTCTCTCTCTCTCTCTCGTTAAGGCGTCGACCTCGTTGAATCGATCAGATCACCTCAGCACATCGACGCGACGCGGTTGCAGGTACGGGTTTCGGTTGGGCTGGTATGGTGGCAATCTCTTTATATATAGCACGAGTTATTCTCACTTCTCTTGCCGGAGGGAAGGTGATGCTAAGCCAGCACAGGAGAAGTAAATAAAAGAGACAGTAAAACAATATACAATATACTACTACTCCCCCGTCCACTAGTAGAAGGGGTTTTTACATTTTACTTACACTGTTTCACCATTCGTCTTATTAAAAAAATAAATTATTATTTATTTTATTTGTGATTTACTTCATTATCTAAAATATTTTAAGCACAACTTTTCGTTTTTTATATTTGCACAATTTTATTAAATATAAGACGAGTGGTCAAACGCTAAAAAAAAATATTCCCTCCGTTTTAAAATGTAAGACTTTCTAACATTACTCACATATATATATATATATATATATATATATATATATATATATATATATATATATAAAATAGAAAGTTTTATACTGTGAAACATAGAAAAGCAGTGAATATCCGGATGGAGGTAGTACTACTTTATTTGGTTGGTGATGGCGACGCGACGGTGTTGGGTGTGGGGGAGAGACACGGTCGCCTCCCCGGGTGAGAATGCGAGGCCAAAACGGTAGGCGGATGCTGCTTACCGGAAGACGTAGTACCACGACGCAACCGTCATCGTCTGTAGAGAGCGCGTGTGTTGATTCCGGTGTGGGACACGCTCTCTCGCCTCGTTTAATCTAATCTATGCGAGAATTTTGGCCTTGCCTTGGCTACTTGGCTCCGGATTAGTCCGAGGATGTGGCGAGATCAGCTGCTTAATCTAACTGGCTTTGAGAGTGATTATCTGCGCATCCCGTCGTTGACAGAGAGGATTCAGGTCCGGAATTTACCAAGAGCTTTTTAGCCTTTTACTGTCGGGAGCTTAAACGGACGTAATTTTCGTTGACCTTAGTTAAGGTGAGGCGTTTTCGCTACGTAGTCACGGGACAGAATGCGTGTTGATCGGTGTTTCTTCATTAATGAAGCTATAGCTATTAGTCCTGAAAGAAAAATGAAGCTACGCATATGGCTGCATTTTCAGATAGTATTGCCCATCCTTTCTGCAAAAATGTCTGAAAGAACTAGCTAGCACATGGCCGGAGTCAGCATTCAGTGGCTTGTGTACAAGGCAGCGGCAACATGCATATGCATGTGTTACTTCAGAATTAAGAAACTGCATATGAACTAGTAACATGTTGTATCTTGGTTTGTATATATTGACAATTAGTACGGGTTTCTGGAACTGTCGCTACTTTATCTCAATTCCCATACTCTAGCAGAACTAGATAATTAAACTTTCAGGAATTAATTACAAGTGCATGATTAAGAGATCAAATTTATATTGAACTCAAGTACTCCCCTCTGTCCAAATTATGCTCCAAAGGAATATATGTAAGCCAAAAAAATCGTTATCTTTTGTTTTCCTTTCTGACACAGCTTCCCTTTCCTTTAGCTAAATTATGGATTATAACTTTGTAAATGTTCATCAAGTTCTCGAGCGACATATGCTAAGCAGTGTTCTACGAAGGATTCTTTCACAACGAAGGTTTCTTTTACGAGATTTGCTACCGTCCAGTGCTTGGTACCCAAGATACCTGTATCACCGGGCACTGAAACAAATCCAACTATCTATTGTTACAACGTAGGATTCGTAATTAGTAAAAGGTCACTTCCAATACTAAAACGGTCATGCACGCCCCAATCTTGTTCCTTGGCGCCGCTGCATTCATATTTTCGTTTGCGTCCAATTTTTCCTCCCTCTGCCACCACTGTCCATCTGCGTCTTCGCATGATCAACAGTGGTACCGGCATGACAGCGCTACGGAACAAGGTCGCGCACAGCGCAATCTTCCTCGCGCCTGTTTTTTCCTCCCTTTCCCGCCACTTTTCATCCATCTTTGCCGGACCGATGGTGCCACCGGCATGACAGTTAACAAATCTACGAACACCTCGCTGCAGCATCCGCCAACGCCCAGCTGCAACCGCCACTGCCACATCACCAACGCCCCAACTACGACCTTTCTTCGCCACATCGCCTAATTCGAGGATGCGACGACCACCGCACTATCACATCAGTGTTGATGAAAAAACACACACTGTCCTGTAAGATCTGCTTAACTCCTGTGCAGGTCCAAAATATTGCTTTTAGGTCTGTGAGCATGCCAGTTAATTTGATCCTGCAATCAACAAGAATAAAGACAAGAAAACAGCAGTTAAATCTATAAATGATAGCCAATCGGTTAGTTGCCGATGACATATCATTTATCTTCGAGCCGATGTCATGTTGGAATCGATCGGCAATAATGAATGAATAATATAAAAACTAAATCTACTCGATCGGCTGTAGATATTAACAACATATAATCTTTACTTCGATACATATTTAAACTAACTGATTAGGATAGATCGGTCGGCATGCCGAGACGGTATAAATCAAGGGGCAGAATCAGGCATGGGGCAGCTAGGGCTTGAGCCACATGCCTAGCCCCATAATCCCCATTATAATCTTGAAAAATGCTATGTAATTTATGAAAATATTTGAGATCCCATTAGCTCAGCCCTAGGTGTGGAAATTTTCTGGCTCCGCCACTGAGTCGAAATATATACTAAAGTACTGATTATATAGACGTTTGTAGCATAGCCGATCAGATAGATCTAGTATGTATCGGCTAATACTCCGATACCACTCTATACTAAGATATTGAAACAAGCAAGATATGTCAAACAAGAATGCTTAATATACTTTTGATGCAATAAGATCTTAATATAAAGGGCAGATTTAGCATAATAGACGAGCATACGAGATAATGATAGCTAAATTAGATAAGATCGATTGAAACTCCGATACTATCTCTATTGATAATCATAAAATAGGCTAGACATCATAATTAAGGATATTACTTAATAGATCGAACTCAACCGATGCAGCATTAAGCATAAAGATAAGTATGAGATCTAAACAAGATGATTAGAATCTCTAAGAGATGATAGATACATGATATAATCTAGATTAATAATGAGATCTAACTCTATCGGCTACTTTCTAACAGTAAAAACCAGCCGATGGAAAGTTATATAACGAAACTAACAAAGATTATAAAGTATATATGATAACTCGACGAATTACATAAACAAGATTAGAGTCATAAGGATGGAAGCACTAATCCTGAGAACGCAAACCGCCATGACAAGTTTACCTCTAGTTGAAGATCGAATCGATGCAGCTCAACCCGAAAGCAAGAACTCGTCGAAATAGAACGAAAGTAAAAAGGGTGGCGATGCGCCGAAAGTGTTGTTGAACTGATGTTAATGATTACATTGGGTACGGGCCATATTTATACCCGAGATACAAAATATGTCCTTACCGGACACGACTTTTATCTCTAACAAACTTTAAGATACCATAAGTCTTTACGACAGACTTTTGCCCAAACATATCTCTAAGGAAATTACACAAAACATCCTAATTATTAGATACAATTGCCTTTCTGAGAGCTTTATCTCCATCGTGGCAATCCTTGTGAAGCACGTTGATCAATTCTAGAAACAACCTCGGAGCCATCCTCATCGGAATCGGCTATACCAGCTCTATCGGCTGTATTAGCCATCCTCTGTCCGATCCATCTTAGCCGATGCATACTCCAGGCGATACCTTCGCAGCCGATGCATACTCTGTTCTTCGAATCTAACTTTTTGCCGAATCCGCTTCGATTCCAATGCCGAACCTGGTTCATATCTTACCAAATTTGGTCGTTAACAATCAGCCGACCAATCGCCGCCACCACATCATCAGACTAGAACAGACTGTTGATGGGGTTCAAGATATGGATCGGAATGACTAAGCAACACACTCATGCAAAAATACAGTATTGCCCCTTTCACCTCTCTCACAATTGCCCGTACCACCACATCAGCAAAGAAAAAGGTACTAGGAGGTGCTGTATCTTGCAAACCGTCCGATCGGGTAGAATCAAGGGCCCAGATATGATATTGGGCCCTTGATGAAAATGGTCCGCGTAAAGAAAATCTCTAGCCTCTGCCAAAAATACACACAACTAATGAGTTGTAAAAGTTAAATATATAAAAAGGACTTGAGGTTATGGGATGAAATCTCATCTTATGTCATCTGATGATAAGCAGTTGAAACATTGAATTAATAGAACTCACATGAATTCTACAACCTACATCCTCAATGTTTGGACAAAAAATTTTGGCCAAAAACGTCACATCAAATATTTGGACACATGCATAGGGCATTAAATGTGAAAAAAAAAATCCAATTGCATGGTTTGCATGTAAATTGTGAGACGAATCTTTTGAGCCTAATTACGTCATGATTTGACAATGTGATGCTACAGTAAACATTTGGTAATGACGAATTAATTAGACTTAATAAATTCGTCTCGCAGTTTACATGTGGAATCTGTAATTTATTTTATTATTAGTCTATGTTTAATACTTTTAATGTACGTCTGTATACTTCAAAAAAGTGATGGTAGTACTTACTAAGAGTAACTACTAATTTATCTGTTCTAAAATATAAAAATTTAAACACGGGTATTAAGAAAGTAGATAAAATTAAATATGTGAAGACTGTGATAATTGGTTGAGAAGAAAAGGTAAGTAAGAAAATTAAAATGTGCAATGTTGTGATTCGTTGAGACAAATGTTAAAGAATAGGAAGTTGTTATATTTTGTGGCAGGAGAGTACTATCTTCTCACGACAACAATATCGTGTGCCCTTAATGAACAATAACACTGCCAATAATAGAGGTTGAAACTCTTCACAAAGTTTACAAACAAAAAGAAAATACAGAACAATTCACCTTGGAAAAGGGAGAGATCGTCGTTGAATTATGAGAGGTTTCTTGGTTCGGTTTGTTTTTTCGGACGGAGTCTTTGGCACTTTGGCTGCCTTGGTCCATGCACTTCTGTTCTTGGCAGAGTGTTCTACGATCTACAGTATAGTTAGTTCAGAGCTCATGTCGGGCCATGATCCTGTGTCGACGAGCCAAAGGGGCCTATTTCTATGTTATCGCATGTTTATCTTCTACTCGCTCCGTTTCAGGTTACAAACGTTTTGACTTACTCTAAGTTTGACTATTTTTTAAAGAAAAAAGTAGTACTATTTTTAACCCAAGATAAATATATTATAAAAATTTATTTAATTATAAATTTAATGAAACTATGTCGGTGTTGTAAATATTACTATTTTTTTCTACAGAGTTAGTCAAACTTAGAGTAGTTTGATTTTGACTAAAGTCAAAACGTCTTGTAACATGAAATGGAGGGAGTATTGTTTTGCATGGCTATGTCGCATGTTTATCTTCTATTGTTTTACATGGCTATAGTAAGTTACTTTTCACTATTTTTTATTACCACGATCAACAAATTTATTACAATAAAAACATCGTTTCATAATTGAACTTAATTTTTTCATATGAACACGAATTTTGAAAAAAATTATATGGAAACTATAGCTCTCAACGAGATCTATAATTTTACATGTGACAACTTTTTATTTAAATATTTTAGATACTCAAAGCATGATTCAAATCTCAGTTAGGTAGGCTCAAATGAAAATATATGTATTTTTGTAATATAATTGATGCATGGATAAGTTAGTAAACGCGAGCGTGTCTTGGGTTTAAATCCTAACCATGACAAGATATAAAAAGAACTAGTTAGGATGATAGTTTAATATTTAAACTTTTAATTTGGTATTTGTATAACTAATGCTGCACATGAAGTGGTAGCAATAATTATATATTACAACGATGTGAAGTGTTGTAATATGATTTTTTTGTCATATCTAATTTGTGGCAATATCGAAATTTGTTGCCACTAAATAAAAATCGTTGCATAACTTATTACCGCTATATTTATTACATCGGCTATCAATAATTTTAAAATGACAGCAACATTTATCTATCACCATGATTTTAGCATTGATGCCACGATTTTTTTATGGTAACAAATCATTTTGGTAGTTGTGATTTTAGAATGGAGATAGTAATAAATATATTTCCCTTTCCAAACAATATTGTAATGGTTGTGTGCAATAATTTTTATTCTAAAATGGTTATATTCGCAATCAAAGGGATTATTTCTTCCCATCTCATAGCCACCCCAATCAAACAACAATACACGCGTGATAATAAACAATGTTGGAATTGGGTAATTGAACAACGAAGGCTGAAGCTTGAACATCAGGGGCTGTTTGGATGGGACTAAAGATTTTTAGTCCCTGTTACATCGGATATTTGGACACTAATTACAAGTATTAAACGTATACTATTGACAAAACTCATTCTACAACCTTGGACTAATTCGCGAGACGGATCTATTGAGCCTAATTAGTCAACGATTAGCCTATGTGATGCTATAGTAAACATGTGCTAATTATAGATTAATTAGGCTTAAAAAAATATCATGTGAATTAGCTCTCATTTATATAATTAGTTTTATAAGTAGTATATATTTAATACTCCAAATTAATGTCAAACATGTCCCTATATCCAAATCAATGAATAGTCTATCCATACGACAAATGACAAGTGTCGCATCCAAAAATCGTCGAAAATTTCCTCGGATCCCCACTGCAGGGTCCATGCTTCATTGATTTGACCCGACTTTTATACTCGGAACCATTGCGTGGAGGCTCTCGAGAGAAGGGAAAGAGAAAGACTGGTTACTGATGACAACTTTGGAAGCTGCCGGTACTGAGCTTGACGCGCATCGCATGGCCGGCCGCTGGCTTTGGCTCGACCGGTCGTACGGCCTGGGTCACTCTCACTCACTGTCAAACCCGAATACGTGTGGGGCCCTTTCGGCCGGGTCGTATCCGGATATGGCTTTCACTTTGCACTTTCCATCTACTGCGGCCAGTCAGGCCAGATACCCAAATCGGTTACTGCTAGTTGTTTACATCTATCGACGTAGATGACACTTCATGAGTCCTATAATCAACTCCTCCCGTACAAAATTTGACCGGCGTTCCAGTGCTCGAGTTACCTGGACATTTCAGCGAATCGATCGACACATGGTAATGCAATACTCTCTACCAGCACTAACCGAGGCAAAAACCGAATTAAATTTAAAAATATATTCTCACTTTTACACAAGCATTACACGAAAATGATGTGGACATGACAACGCGGACGGTCTCACACGACAACGGCACGAGATCGTGTGGTGTTGCACGATAAAACGGTGACCGCGTGGCCTCGCACGACGAAATAGGTGAGACCGAATGGATGTGGCCGATTCAAATTGTTTAATTATCATGATCACTTACTGTGATAATTAATCACTAATTAAGCGGCAGCTCAAAAGCTGTTCGCTCTCGCTCATTCCTTGTGCAAGACAGTTCGGTCTCGCTGTTTGGTTGCACGAGACTGCGCGGTCTCACATTGTCGTTCCACAACACTGCGGGGTCTCGCACCGTCGCCGCGCGAGACCGCCCACATCATTTTCGTAATAATTATGCAAGACCTACGGTATATTTCTGTTAAAAAAAATTACTTCCTAAATATTTTTGAGAAAAAACAAATCAACAGTATATTTTTAAATTTAATTCGGCAAAAACCTGCGTTTCCGCAAGTCCACGGCCCACATGATACAATGGCCACCATGATACTAATGATCAGGTCGTCGTGATTGACTTAAAGTACATCATGACACGACAAGACGAACGTACATATGCATGCATGACATGACAAACATTTGCGCGTACCGTGCAAGGACCCCCAACAACAACAGCGACGGACCCTCTAGTAAACGGAGTCGCGATCAACCACGGGACAGATGCACGCACTCGTTTTCTCGTACGTTGATCATCAGACAGAGAGGCGACGTCCACAGTTTCTCCTCCTCTCGGCGCGTCTACGGGATTTTTTTGTTTTCTTTTACAGCTTCTGGGGACACGCAAAAACGAGTGATGATTTGTGTCAGATCGATCCTTCCGTGGCAATTTCAGGTCAGAGACGCGAGTCCGCCCATGTTCAGACGGTGAGAGGGACGTCGCCGCACGTAAGTACTCCCTCCGTCTTAAAAAAAAAAAAACCATAGATTCCCGTGGTAACGTTTAACCGTCTGTCTTATATGAAATTTTTTATAATTAGTATTTTTATTGTTGTTTAATAATAAAACATGATTAATACTTTATGCGTGACTTATCTTTTTAATTTTTTTCATAACTTTTTCAAATAAAACGAACGGTCAAATATTGAACACGAAAATCAGGGTCTGTCTTTTATTTGGAGGGAGAGGGTAGGCGCACATCACGGGATCTGGGGAGGAGTGGGTACCAAATCCACAAGTCACCGAACGGGAAAGCGGGCTCCCCTCCAAATCGGTTAAAATTACGGAAAGGCGAGTCAAGAGGCTGCAGGTAGAGACAGAATACAGGCGAGAATTTCCGGCAGATTCGCCGCGCCAAGCTTACGACCCCGTATGGTGGCTTCGTTTTCGCGCTGGGTTTACTGGTAGCTATAGCTGCTTGTGTGGCTCCCGTTCAGTCCGCTTTTGAGGTTTGATCAACGTAGACCCGAGCTGGGACTGTGAACGCCGTAAAACTTATTGTTTCTGTTTCTGAACCGTAGACTGATGGCAGAGGCCAGTGTAGACTCTCGACCTGTACGCCGACGGCAGAGGACTAATTCTCAGGTAAGTAACAGTTGGGCCAACGTATCGAAAAATGATACTAGGTTTTAGTAAAAATGAATTCTTTCGATGATTTGGAAGCAGTTTCGCTAAGCAGAATCGAATCGTATGCGATACCACTTGATAGCAATGTGAGACCAGTTCGTTTCGTTTGACCCGTACCGGCCCAGTTTAAAGCCCATAACTACCCCTCATGGGCGTAAGTTGGGATAAAGTCCGACTTGCCTCCTCAACTCCAATGTGATTCGCATACCTCAAAAGTCAAAACCACAAAACCACAAAACCAGATCAATTAACCTCACTCGGTTGTTTAGGCTGTGATTCCGTCCTACGTGACATTACAGTAGTTCTGTCTAACCTGACACGTTGACTTGGTCCACCCATACTAATATTGCTCTTAAATGGCAATTATAGCCACATGAAAAAAAAAGAGAATAGTGGATCAGCCAGTGAGTTCTACCTCGAGACGGCCATCGCTGGCGAGCTCCAAGATATCGCCCACATGAAACTCGAGCTTAGTGAAGGTGGGCATCGGGATGTGCCGACAACGGCACACATGGAACGGGCCTTCCTCACGCAGGGGAAGCATGTAGGTGGCCATAATTCCTTTCTCGCATCAGCAAGGTTAACGAAGGAGGGGGCGGTGGAGCCAGAGGTGGGGGCAATATGATAGCGGCAGTGGTATCCCCTCAAATCCTCATATTTGCTTCCAAGGCGATTAGCAAAGAAGCCTTGGCGTCGAACAAAGACAAGGAGAGAGATGAGGCACTGAGTTGCAGAGAAGGCGACAACCTCGGATTCAGCTGCCGATTGGCTACGGTGACAACCCACGGTGCAGATCTAGCTCATCGCCTGGAGGGGAACTGTCGGGTCTCAAAACTAATGATTCGGTAACCGACATGTTTAGACTGTATCAAGCCCTGGATCAGTAGATTGATACAGGTTCAACAATCTGAATCTTCATTGCATACATTTGAACAAGGTTCCAAAGGAGATATTATTATAAAATACATGGGTATTTACAAACTTGTAGCTATCTAATACAACAGAAGCTATAGAATAAATCAACTCTAATGTTTTGCTATAGAGTTAAACCATCTAACAATACTAGACTTCAAGACTAGGTTTAAAGTGAACTAACTTATGTGATTGAACTCCCGGCTTCGATAAGAACTCCAAATGGACTCTGAAAAAGGTGAGGTTGAAGCAAGGGTGAGTACAACGTACTCAGCAAGCTATTATATTCAATATGAATGTATGAAATAGCAGTATTTGAGTAGGGCTAGATTTACTTGCAGAAAGCAGAGAATGTAGAAGAAGAAAGCTTGTAATGACTTTAATGCAACAATATTTAGTAAAATCTCGAATTAGGTTTCTAACCAAATACCATATGAATCTCGGTACTCAATTCCGTGAGCACGGCTATTCGAATAGTTTGATGAATATCCTACTGCAGTAGATGTACGCTTTACCCGCAGTCCACGACTTGCCAATATTCATTAGCTTAGTCATGGCCCAGTATTAGGTTATTAACAATTGTGGTACCTGTTCCATGAACTTATATCCTCATGCGCTCTGAACGTGACGTTAACTGCAGCGAGAGGAGTTCTGGCGTTACCGGGGTCTTTAGAGAGGACTGATTGTATGACACCATGTCATCGCAATCAGGGTTCACAAACGTGATCACAATATATCTCAAATACATATTTACCTGTGCCTCGGTAAATATCACAATTGCCCTACTCGGCGTAAATTTGCCTCCTACACGAGGACTTTAAAATAGAACCACTGTACAGAGGTACCACATTGCTAATTAACATAATAGCTAGGTTTGTCCCTATTCTAGAAGCTGCGGTCGTACTCGTTCGTTTGACATAAGTATTTGGTATAAACTTATATCGACTGAGACAGTACTAGCCACCCGGAAATCAACCATTTCTACCGTACTGTCCCAATCTAAGTTCATTAAATTTTATGCATAATCTAACTAGGCAGGGCTAAGCAAAAGCTAGCATATCTGGTTTGCTATATGTTCAGGTTATGCATTGAAAATCATGAATGGCTAATGCATGAGATATCAGAGATATAGAATACAGGGCATTTATGCTCAAAGGAGATGAATAATAACTTGCCTTGCTCCAACGCAAATAAATCCGAGATAGGCAACCTGATTATCCGATTCTCGAAATACCAAAGGTTGCCATCCAAAATAAAATAGACTCTACTAAGAAAGACGAAGAACCAATTTCAATAAAATCCATAGAATAGCAAGAAAGAGATAAACAGTTAGGAGGGCTAGGGTTTAGGGTATAGTCTATCTCTTTTATAGGGTATATGGATTACTGTGCTAATATCTTATGCGGAGGTTCTAGAGAGTTGGAGGCTAGAGGGGATTAAGCAACTACTATCGCTTATATTTCATATGTGGGTTTGATTAGTAGGAGGATGGGAAGTAACTAGTTTGGATAATGGTATTGGTTAAAAGGGTATGTGGTTGGTATTCATTGGCGGTAGCTAGGTTTAGGTCGTATGGAAACTAAGGTCTAGTTGTCCTCGAGTCGATACTGAAATAGGATAGCATATCAGCTCGGCTCTATAATTTTATGTGTAGGTTCTGGTAGGTGGAGAGTAGGTGGTGGAGAGTATGGTGGATAGGCGATACTGGTGGGTGTGGAATTTGGATGACAACTGGAATTTGACTGGGAAGGTATTAGTTAGGGTTTGGTTATATGCTAGTCAATGCTAGAGCATAACGACTAGATTTGGTACCTTCTCTAGCCGGTGTCAACCGACAACATATTGGCTAGAGGAATAGGAGGTTGGTGTAGGTTTGGTGGGGCGGAAGTGTTACTCCGACAACCGTGGGTGGCGGCGGAGCGGCTAGGATTACACAGAGCTCGAGAGCTAACTGTGCGGCGTGCTGTGGAGGTCGAGGGAATAGTGAAGCTCCGACTGTTATACGCGTCGAGGCGTAGGGTGCCAGGAGCAGCACTTTGACCTTGGGTTTGGGTTCTGCCGGGCTTTACAACCAACGGTTCAACGTCGGGGCCAGTAGATCGCGCGAACGTCCCCATGAAAGGCGTAAATTTTTAACCGGGCGGCTTTTAAGTGGCTATAGGGTATTTTGGAGTAAAAAGGAAATATTTGAAAGTCAAATATAAATTCAAATGGCATGAAGGAATTTCAAATAAAATAGTAAAATAGCAAATTTGATATCAAAATGTAGCTTTTGAATTTAGATGAATTTAGGTCCATGTTTCATTGGAATCGGATCTACGGTTTAGGAGATATGGGCTTCTAAAGATTAGATTTGAAATCAAATCTAGAAAATGTGAAATAATACTGTAGGGGCCCACCTGTCAGTTCCCTTTTCTTTTTTTCTTCTCTCTTTCTTCTTCCTTCTTCTTCCTCCCGTTCTCTTCTTCTTTTCTGTTGCCGAGTGAGTTGAGAGGAGGGAGAGAAGGGGCGCCGGCTCTCCGGTGGATGGAAGACTGTGACTCCGGCGGCAAAACGCGTTCCCGAGCAACGCGCACTTAGGGAGGGTGGTTGCCGATAGAGAAGGTTAGGGAGGAGACCGGAACGGCGACGGCAAGAGCTTGCTCCGGCAACAAAGGAGGTGGCTATGATGGTTGGTTTCGGAAGGGAAAAGGAAGGGTAAACTAGGAAAATGAGTTCGCCTCGTCGAGGCAAACCCGATGGCGCAAGGGCTTGGCCAGAAACACTCCAGTGAGGGAGATCGACGATGGCCGGTGGTGGTTTGACATGAGAAGAGAGAGAGAGAGAGACTGAGCTCACGGCTCGGTTGTGGAAGAAGAGAGGGGGCTTCACCGGCTATTTATAGGTGTCGAGAGGCGGTAGAGTAGGTCGGTTCGGATGGAGAACAACGAAGGATGCACGGCAATGGCGACGTGGGGAAGAGACGACGGCGCCGGCTTCGTTCTCCAATTGGCTGTTAGTGGCGGCGCGTACACGCGGCGACCGCGGGAGGAGTTGGGCAGCTGGGAAGGGAGGACACGGCACGGCGTCGGCGCGACTTGGCGGCGAAGGAAGGGCAGCGGCGACGGTTGCTTGGCGGAGGAGGAGGGCAAGGCACCGCAGCGGCGGCGCAAGTTGGCGGCTCGGCTGGGTGTTGGGCCGGCTTGGACTGAGGAAAGGAAAAGAAGGAAAGGGAGAATTCGGCCCAAACGTAGAAGGAAGAAAGTCTAATTTTTCCTGGGGCTGAATAATTTGATTTAGAGGAGAATTTTTATTTGGAAGGAATTTGAATAGAAGATTTTGAAAGGAAAATATATTTGGAGATAATTTGAATAGGGAAGGTTGAAAGGAAATTATATTTGGATCTAATTTCCAAAAGAGATATTTCTAATTTGAGTGCAATATTTTTGGAAGTGGAATATGGTGGAATTTAATGCACTCAAATGAGAGGGGAATTAACAATATAATTCCTCAATATATATATATGTTTGGAGGAGAATGGTTGGAGGTAAAATAAATAGGATTTGAATCCTAAATTTGATAGTAGAAGTATTTGAAGAATTATTTGTGGCTAATAGGGAAAGTTGAGTGAAGAATATAAATTGGTATTTTCTTAGCACAAGAGCAATTATTCACAATATTTGCAATAATACTATTCTTGTGCCGAAGAGGAAATCAAGCCACAGGAATTAAATCAGTGGCTAGATCAAAAGGAAGAATTTGGATCAAGAATCAAAGGATGGGTTTAAGATCAAAGGATGGGTTAATAATTAATTCCAATAAAATTGGAATTACTTTGGTTAATTTAGGTTCAAGGGAAAATTGGGAAGGTTTCTTAGACCATAATCCATAAAAAAAATAGAAAGGGTTTTCAAACTAATTTTGAATAAAGAAATTTTAGTCAAAGGAAGGTTTTAAATTAAAACCAAATCAAGAAACACCTTAATTTAACCAACTATATTTTTAAATGAAAAACACAAAAGAGATTAAATACCAGAGAGGTTTTGTGTGAGTTAGTTTTAGGAGACCCCACTAATTATATTGTTTAGGAAGTTATTAAGAACATAAGACTCAGCATGATGCAGAATTAGAAAATGGTTAGTTTTCGGTATGTTACAGGAACGGTGGGGATCGGAACCAATCTTCGTCTATGGTGTCCTGTATCTAGCACAAAAGCGTCGTTTTAAACTTTCGATGTCACTTACATATAGGCTTACTAGTTATTTAATTATTTTTATTTGCTGACTATAAATGTCACATAATCACCACATAAATACCACGCGTGATGAATATCATGTCAATGTACCATCTAGTTGGCATGTAGGATGAAAACAACCATCTAAAGCACCAAGGGAAGTAATTGACTCGATTTTGACAGTTGGAAGGCCTATATATGTGATTTTGTGGTTGAGGGATGTGAATTAGACGATGAAATAGTTGAGGAGAACAGATGGACATCGTTCCATAATTTGGTGCTATTATATAAAGGAGCAAATGGCTTGCGTGAAGTCCGTTGCAATTGGTGAGATGCATAATGATGGGGAATTTTTTTCGGTTTTAGATTTTTTTTAATATTTACAGAAATAATCTATCGACCAAAAAAATTGCAAAAATAGCCCCTGCCGCCCACCTCTGGGGTGGCAAGCTGACGTGGCAAACATGGGAGGAACGGGCGGTGATGGAGGGAGGGTTTTTTGCAGGAAAACCCTTGCCGCCCTCTGGTGGGGCGGCAAGGGGCCCGAATGCAAAAAAGTCAGTCGGGGCCGGCTATTTTGCAGGCGGCCCCTTGCCGCCCTCTGGCCGGGCGGCAGGCCTCGCTGCCTATAAAAGGCCTGCTGCCCAGCCCCCAGCCCTCATTCTTCTCTCCTCAATTCCAGTGAAAAAAAAAGAAGAGAGGGGAGGAGAAGAGAAGAAGGGGCGAAGCCCTGCCGGATTCAGACGCCGATTTCAGGTAATATTCATAGATCCTATATGTGACTATTGAGTTAAATAGTGTGTATTCTTTAAAAATTTGTTTGAATAAATGCATTATATTTTTAGGGTTTTAGTTGTACTAATCTAGAAGTGCGTATTGTAGATATCGGTAACTACGTAGATCTGCTAGTTTGGAATTAATACATTACCGTTGCATTGGCTTACACAAGAAGATATTACGTTGTAGATGTTTATTGCATGAAAGAGTAATATGATCTAGTTATTTCGTTGACAGATATGTCGAACAAACAAATATTCCAAGTTTACCATGGACCAGGAAACGTCCGTTACGGGCCAACTGGGGTAGATCTGTTAGATTTTATTGTATCAGAAAGGGGAATTGATAGACCGGCTGAGAGGAGTGTACCTTCTATAAAAGGATGGTTAATGAGGGGCTTGAGAGTTGATCCACAGACAAGTGACATAACAATCAATGTTATAGTAAGTCGGGCAACTGAGGGTTTTTATTGGGAACTAATGCCAGTTCAAAACTCTTGAGTGTGGAGATGGTATTTGGAAAATGCATTGCAACGCGGGTGGCCTCTAGCTTTGGTTCCGTTTGTTCACCCAAAGGATCCAGGTGTGCAGACGAACATGGATGATGGCGAGGGACCAAGTGCTAAAGTAAACGAGACTTCTGTGGAGGAGGTCAACGCACGAGAGGACGGGGGCGTAGTAGCTCCAGTGGGCATTCAACCAGGTGGAGTAGCCGACGAGGGGGAGACTGTCGGTGCCATTGTGGATGAAATGGAGAGGGACGATTCTGACAACGAGCGTGTAGAGGAAGGTGATTCGTCAGATGATGAGACAGATATTAATCCAGCAGAATGGGCTAGTGAGGATTTTTCTGGGCTGATCGTCTCTGAAGAGGATAGTGTGAGATGGGAGTACAAAGAAAATGAGGTTATTCAGGGAGCGATTTATAGTAGAGCAGAAGATATGAAGGAGGCGGTAAAACATTTTGCAATGTCACTTCATAGAGAGTTTTGGGTTGCCAAGTCGAACCGGTCGCAATATGAAGTTCGGTGTGTTAAGGAAAAAGATGGTTGTCCCTGGAGAGTGCACGCGTATAAGGGGAAATGGAAGGATTATTGGACAGTGTCAGTTGTTACCAAGCATACATGTTTTCTACCTGGTGTTCAGAAATACCACAGGAACATTACATGTGCATTTGTTGCATCTGAGATGTATGCGCATGTCATCGATAATCTCACATATGAACCAAGGTCAATAATCCGACACATTGAAGAGACATACAAGTATACTATTAGCTATGCCAAGGCCTGGAGGGCCAAACAGAAAATAATAGAGATGAGATTTGGAACTTACGAAGCCTCGTATGACAATTTGCCACGCCTGCTTGGTGTTATCGAGGAAAGAAACCCTGGGAGCTCTTACGAAGTGAAGAAATTCCCCTCAATTGAACATCCTGGCAAGAGTGTGCTGCAAAGGGCGTTCTTAGCTCTACATGCATGCAAGATGGCATTCGTGAACTGTCGTCCTGTTCTCTGCATTGATGGGACATTCTTGACAGGAAAGTATCGGTGCCAGATACTAACAGCAATAGGGGTAGATGGGAACAATCAGGTATTGCCCTTGGCATTTGCTTTTGTTGAGAGTGAGAATACCGACAGCTGGTACTGGTTCATGAAATTGGTTAAAACAAAAGTTGTTGGTATGAGGCCAAATGTATGCCTGATACATGATAGGCACGCTGGCATTCTGCGAGCGATAGGAGAGTTGCAGTTTGGGAGTATGGAATGAGGATACCCCGGTGTTTGGGAAGATGTACAGAGTAGGTGGTGCATGCGTCATATGGGAGCTAATTTCTTCAAGCAATTCAAGAACAAGGAGCTCATGAACATGTTCAAGAGGCTGTGCAATCAGAACCAGGAGAAAAAAATTCAATGAGCTTTGGAAGAGATTAGATGAGTTGACAGCCAAATGCAGTGATCAGCGTGCAGCGGCTCCATCGACCGCCGTTGCTGACCCTCCTCAAGCTCTTGGACCTCTCCCAACGGATAGTCCAACATTGGTTAGAAGAACTGGATTGGAGATTCGGAAATTTTCTCAGTGGATTCTGCATGAACCAAAAGAGAAATGGGCCAAGGCGTATGACACAGGTGGTGCTAGATATGGAATAATGACAACAAATTTGGCAGAAGTTTACAACTGGGTGATGCGCGGTGTCCGTGGACTGCCACTAGTTGGCATAGTGGAGTTCATTTTACATGGGACATGCAGGTATTTTAGGGATCGGTTCCAGGCAGTTCTTCCCTCTATGCCGAACAACAACATTTTGTTTGGAGCTTTCATGCAGAAAAAGCTAGAGGAGTTGCGTAAAAAGGCCATGAAACATCGAGCTCTAGTGCAAGGTACCCAACAGCACAGGTTTGAGATACTATGTCAAGATAAGGCAGGCAGGGGTATCTACCGCAAGAGAGTGAAGCAGGAGTGTGTTCTCAAAGCCGACGGCACATGTCATTGCTCTTGTGCAAAGCCGAAGCTGCTCTACAGGCCATGCACCCATGTCATTGCTGCCGCAGCGGAGTGTGGCATACCAGATGCAGTATATGTGTCACAGTACTTTAGTAAGCAAGCAATATATCATACATGGAGCGGCGAGATTTATGGGTTCGGCATAGCTGGGGAGTTCACAGAGACTAACGATGAAGTACTCAATATTCCTGACCCATCGAAGCTCCGAGGCAAGGCTGGAAGGAGGAGGACTCGTCGCATCCGCAACGATATGGACGAGTCGGAGGCTGGCAGGGTGAAGCGTTGCAGCAAATGCGATGAACATGGGCACACCTACAAGCATTGTCCTAAAGACAAGGAGAAACCAAGTGCGGCGGAGGCAGGACTATCAGGATCAGCAGCAGATGGAGCTCGCCCTACGGGTGAAGGCACTACCTCCACTCGACCACGTCCTAGGCGTCGTCGTGCCACGTCTGGCTACGTGGTGTAGTTCTTATGTTCTATGTCGGCATGTGGA